GCTGAAATTTGGTCAACAGAAAGCAGCAGGAGGGTTTAAATGGGATCCAGTGACCTTACCAACAACTCAGCAGTTCATTTCAGCCCTTTCAAGGCACAAAATTACAGCAACCAGTGTTTTCCCCCTCCGAGCCGTTGGCCTCAGCCCAGCCAGTGGAGCGTGCCAGCCACCCACTGCATGTCCCCAGCCTAAACTGAGGCTTTCTGCTGATTTAAAGGCAAAAGGTGACATTCCCAGCAGGCTCTTCCATCTGTTACCACTCTCCAGCGAGAGGTGGAAGGGTTTCAGCAAGTGCCTGCACCCAGCTGGGACATTATTTGGGATGTAGAGGCTGGAAAACCCCCATTCCCTCTTCCCAGCACCCTGTCCTAGCCGAGATGCAGGTCAGGGGGAGGCAAGGGGCCAGCAGCTGTGGTGGTCTCACCCGGAAATCTATGCCCACGGTGGCTAAGAACGTCCCGGAGAGAAAGGCCCCGTCTTTGAACTGGAGCAGGAAACAGGTTTTCCCCACGCCCGAATCTCCAAGTAACATCACCTGCAAGATGGGCGCAGGGAGAAGGGTCAGTGGGACAGGGAGGGGGCAGCATTCCTGGGTGGTGCTGAGCCCTTCCCTGTCTCTTGTGTCCCTGTTTCTTTCCCCAGGGCTGGTCCTGCCAGGTCTGGGGAGCCCCGTGAGAGCTGGGGGTGGGATGGGACCCCTGAGGGTGCAACCAACGGTGCCTTGAGGCAGCAGAGCGTGGGGAGAGCAGAAGAGGAGAGCTGGTGGGAAGGCAGGTACCACAGCAAGAAGAGATGTCTCCTGACTGACCCCTTGGCTGTCCCCAGCTCAGGAGGCTCCTGGAGAACTTGCTGCAGCTCCCAGACACGTGGAGCCACCTCCACCCATGCTTTGCCCCCAGCCCAGGTGTGCCCAGCCCAAATGCTGATGCATTGCTTGGGCAAACCCTGCCGTGTCCGGGACTGGCCCTGTTGGTGCCCAGGGCCCTGCCTGCTGCAGACACCAAAGCAAACACGGCACCTTTTCCCCTCCTGCAAAGCAAACAGGCTCAGCCCGGGCTCCCTGACTGTTCCAGCACTGCTGGGCCCAGGCAGGCAGCAGCCAGGACTGATGCTGGTGTCCATAAGCACAGCCTTAACAGCACCCTGATGCCATGCTCTCCTCCCTGCTGGCCGGCAGCAGCCCTTTCTTGCCTGGAAATAATTAACCTGACACTGACTGCATCTATCCCCTGCCTAAAAATGGCAGCGAGTAGGGCTCCAGTGAGAAGGTCCATCCCTTCAAGCCCACCCTGCGGGGACGCTGGAGCCTGCAAAGCAAAGCCACGCAGTCCCACTGCTCCCGGGCCGGGCAAACACGGAGAGCCACGGCCACCCTCTGCGGCCACCTTTC